AGTGAGTTTTGGAATATCTAAGGAAATGGAAAGCAAGAGAAAAGTTAGAACTACTACAGAATACGATTCTTGAGGAGAAAGAAGACATTCGCGTTTTCGCTTAATATCTCTTTAACGAAGCGTCTGGCAACATTTTTGCTAAGGAAAGAGTTGTTTCAAATCACCTCCTGAACCACCCCTTTCAAGGACCTCCAACATTTTTGGGACAATCTGTATATACGACACTCTGTAAATGTTTACTTAGTGCTTACACCTCTGAGCGAGCAAAGCACCCTTGAAAATTGGTTTAGACCTCTCGCTTTCAGGTCGTCGCGCAGGATAAGAGAGACAGGGATGCTCGAGGCGACTCTTCGGGACGAAAGAGGTAGAATGAGAGGCCAAACCAGGGGAAACCAGGCGAAACCGGGCCAAACAGTTCAAAGAGGAGCTTCTGCTACCCTTCACCCCACTCCTGTTGCTTTCTGGCACTTACGAGTGGGCCGAAGTCGTCCCACCGACTGGCACGTGAGCACGCGTGCCGGGGCCCTTTTGTCGCGAGCCCTGTGGCCGCTCCTTCGCCCTATGCAGGGGAGGATCGTCGAGATTCGGCGTGCAAGGACACGTGTACCAAATAGGCTTGGTGGTTCAAAGCCTGTTTGCCTCGTGGACCACCATAGCGACGGTCAGGCGGGTCAGGGGTCTTCCTGGAGTGTGCGGTTCACGAGCTGCTAGAATCAAAGACGAAACGAAAATTAACGCGTCGACCATCGTGCCTAATTTGCTCCTCTCGATACAATATTATCGCAAGCATTTTTCAACACCTTGCGAGATAAATTGCAAGTATATCAGAGTCGATATTTGAGAATCCACGAAGAAACCACGTGTCGTCCTTTTTACTTTCACCGAATTACATTGATATATTCACATTAATGATACTTGTAATTTATAAACATGTTACAGTATTACCGTGCTTCACAGGTTTTCCAACGCGTTTTCCCGTTTCTCGGTTTCTTCGTTACTGTTTCAAACGGATCTGTCTTCGCCGACACTTCGAGCGATCTCTCCTTTTTATTTTCGCCGTGGGTGCCAATCAAGGGGAACGCTGATAACCGACTCCACGAGGAATCGACGTTTCCATCGGAACGAAATTCTCCTACGAACGAAACGTGAAATTAATTAGACTGGAATCGCGATAACGCGGAGACAGATTAATTATTCCATTCGTTACTGGTACCATTACGTTCGTTTTATGAGCACGCTGCAGATCTCTTTTTCTTTCTTGAAAAATTCGTAACTGTTTCCTTGGCGCGGTACAAAAATCTGCAAAAATTCGCAAAAATATATTTAGTACTGTACTATGATATGAACAAATAAAAAATAGTTGGGTTTCGAGAATGGTGTTCCATACAAACATTCAACAGCGAATACAATATAAAATATCCACCAGCGATCATCCCCTGAAGGTTCATCCCTCTCGACTGCGGGAATAAACGTTAACACCGAACGAATTCGCTTCCGATCCGACGGATAGGATCGAAATATGCAAATTGGCCGTGAAAAGTGTCCAGCGGTGATTGGTACGCACGCTTTCCAGGAGCTAATCCCAATTATATCGGCGGTCGACAATAATAATACGCCACGGGGATGGTGTCGGAGAGTCCTTTTCGAGGATGGGCGGGACAAAACTTTACCTATTCGCTACCTACGACCTACAACCCTACCGAACCACCATTGTGATCGTATTAACACCTTGCATAATTGCGTCGCCACCGACGCCGTCGCGTTTCTCATTGTGCGGCCGCTAAACACGTCTCATTTGAATATTGGCCTATTCATACCACTCTGGGAAGCCTCGATCGCTCCGATAAAAGGGGTTGCGCGTCGGCGGTTCCGCGGTTCGCTTCTTAATCAACGTCGGCGTACTCTTTCTCAGGCTGTCACGCGTTCGACGATCGCTTACACCTTTGTGTCTCAACCCGCTGGACGATACCTCTGGACTCTGCACGATTATAGCTGGTGTAACTCAGTGGTGCTAGACGTGGAACACAGGTACGGTTATTCCGACAAATTACAAGTGCAAATTGTTATAATGATGGACAGTAAGAATAAGTCTCAACCTGATGGACGTTACAATTTATATGTATATTCAAAGTTGAGCAGGTCTGAATTATTCCATATTATTTTTCTTTTGATTTAGTGTAAATGGAACAAGAATTTATAGCATTTTGGAAGAGTAAGAATAAGTCTCAACCTGATGGACATTACAATATATATATATATATATATAAGAGTAAGAATAAGTCTGATGGACATTACAATTTATATATATATATATTGTAATGTCCATCAGACTTATTCTTACTCTTCCAATAATGCTATAAATTCTTGTTCCATTTACACTAAATCAAAAGAAAAATGATATGCAATAATTCAGACCTACTCAACTTTGAATATACATATAAATTGTAATGTCCATCAGATTATATATACATATATATATATAAAAGAATAGTAATATGCAATAATTCAGACCTACTCAACTTTGAAAATATATATATATATATAAGAATAATAATACGCAATATATATATATTCAAAGTTGACCAGGTCTGAATTATTGCATATTATTATTCTTTTGATATAATGTAAATGGAACAAGAATTTTTAACGATATTGAAAGAGTAAGAATAAGTCTGAATCTGATGGACTTACAATTTATATGTAATATACCCAAAATTCAGTAGCCCTAAACTATTCCTTATTATTATTCTTCTTCTCCCAACAGATAACAACAGCCCCTGAGGGATGAAGAAATGACAGATAAAAATAGATACATAACGTAGGTTTGCGATGGTTGCTTGAAAATATAAGCGACACTTACGATTTTTTTACTCGTGAGGTATAGGACCCAACGAGTTCTACTTTATCACGTTGTTTTCCTTGGTTC